TATGTATGTGTATGTGTATATATATGTATGTGTATGTGTATGTGTATGTGTATGTATATATATGTATACATGTATGTGTTTGTATTTATATATATGTTTATTCATACATATGAAGTCTGTCTAAATGTTCCTCTTCTCTTTCCTCAAACAAGGACAATATTTTCTACCCGTCTGAGCTGGATCCCGAGGGCGAGATAACCTCCTTTCCGGGCTTCAACTGCGGCATCATCGTCCAGGCAGCGAGCGTCGAGGAGCACTCGGGCCACTGGGTCTGCGTCGCCACCTCTGACCACGGCTTCGATTCCGCCAGCTCCGATGTCCTTGTCAAGCGTGAGTGAGGTTTGGGGGAAGGAATTAGAGGCATAGGGCAAGTATGCAGTAGACGAGTAGATAGTTTTCATCTAAATCAAGATTACATACACAATACACATACAAGTTATATAGATATGAACGGTAGTGTATTTTGTTAATGTGTACATATACATACTCGTACATATATAATGTGTACATATACATACATACTCGGTCTCTCTTGTAACTAATTAATCTCAGTGTCTGGTAATTGAAACCTTAACAGTTCGAATATGATGATCCTATTGTAATTTTATATCTTGTTAGTTTTATTATTATTATCATCATCATCATTATTATCATTGTTATTAGTCGTTTTCCTCGAGCTAAGTACGCATCATTGAAGTAGACCGTCAGTTTATGCACATTTATTATTTACAAGACATGCTGATGGGGGTGGTTAAGAAGAAAGATAGGAGGGGAAGAGGAAAAGACGGGGGGTAAGAAAAGGGGAGAGAAAGGAAGGGAAGGAAGAGGGGGCCTCAGAGAAAATAGATTAGATAATGCTCTCTCTCTCTCTCTCTCTCTCTCTCTCTCTCTCTCTCTCTCTCTCTCTCTCTCTCTCTCTCTCTCTCTCTCTCTCTCTCTCTCTCCTCCCTCCCTCTCCCTCTCCCTCTCCCTCCCTCCCTCCCTCCCTCCCTCCCTCCCTCTCTCCCTCTCCCTCTCCCTCTCCCTCTCCCTCTCTCCCTCTCTCCCTCTCTCCCTCACACACACACACACACACATATACAGACATATACAAACATACATACATATGTCTCGTATGTACATACATATCTATATATGTAAATACATATATATATATATATATATATATATATATATATATATATATATATATATATATATATATATATATATATATATATATATATATATATATATATATATATATATATATATATATATATATATATATATATATATATATATATATATATATATATATATATATATATATGCATGTATATACATAAATACATGTGTATATATACAGAGAGGTCATTATAGAATGAGAGAAAAAAAAGTTATTCACATGAGAGCCACAAAGGGACGCTATCAGTCCGTGAGATCGCCCAGGTGTGTTTGAAACAAGAAAAAATTGTGCTTTCTGATAACAGCTCCTTATGGCTGATATATTTTCATCAACAACGAAAAAGACGACTGAAAGTCAATATGGTGGTTGATAAACTAAGGGGATAGTTTGAATAAAGTTGGTTGGTTAAATAGGTCAAGTTATAAGTCTTGCTTTGCTGTAAAGTGTTACATTTAAAGGCAGATGGTAACCGTGATAGGGCATGAGGCTTGATAACGTGCACAGAAAGAGACTTAAAATTCAAATTCAAAATACTTTATTCCATTAGTTACAATGGTTATTCTTGTTACATAAAAAGTGATTTTGCAGTACATGTAAATATGAGATACACATAAAATTAAGACAATGTACATAATAAGTCATGCCTATTCTTATATTTTGAAACCTGATGTCATTGGTGCTTTAAGAGATGTTCTTTTCATTTCTTTTAGAATGTATTAGAGTTCCTGATATTTCTGATATTATTTAGTAATTTGTTCCAAATCATAGGTCCACGTGTTAGTGTCTGTCCTTCCCCTATATCTGTACGTGATCTTTTGATGCGTAGAGAGTTTACCTGTGTTGTTAGGACATAGGTTGTGTTTCATACTTTGGTTTGTTTATATGTGGGGTAATGTGGCCATACTTATTTACGTTACTAAGTGCTAATCTCGCACTTGGTAACTTTTTGGTAAAATTTTCTAAATGTGACCTTTGTTTATTGCGCCTCCAGATGTTCGAACAATAATTAATTATACTGAAAAATAAGTGTTCGTATAACGGATATCCTAGTTTCAGAAAATCTTTTTGTGACTTAGGTAAATTAGCGTGCCCATTACTTTCCTATGGTTGTTGTCGACATGGTTCTCAAATGTCATGGATCTGTCACTGTACGCCTAGGTTTTTTATTTTTTACGGAAGTACTCGGTATTATGTAGCTGTCTTCAAGTTTTATGGTGGTTTACCGCAATTTTGGCGATATTTTGGCGACTACCTATGAAGATACATTGTGTTTTATCTGGATTTATCTTGGTCATTTGTGTCAAAATATCCTTTTATTAGTATTAATGTCTCCTGGGTCTTTTTATTAGTTTACCTAAGTTGTTTACTGAATCACAGGAGAAATTGTGAATCATCGACGTATTGAACAAGAAGGCGATGTTGGGTTATGGGTTTTAAGTCATTTACGAATATTATAAACAGGTTTGGAACACCGAAGGATACTATCTGGTTTGTCGATATTTTCTCGTGAATTTTGACTTGTTAGCTTCTGTTACATAGACAACTTCTGGACCAGTATGTATCGATGTTGTGATATATGAATTTACTAATGAGGATTTCGTGGTTGACACTGTCAAAATCCTTTGATAAATCGCACAGGGTAAGTTCATTTGATTGTTGTCTATGTTCTCAAATATTTTATGAGAGAGAGAGAGAACAAATACAAAGAGGATAAAAGAAAGAAAGAGACAGAACATATGATATACATAAACTACAGTGAAAGAAACCACAAAATCTTAAATACCGATCCAATAAAACACATCGGAAACCATTAAGATATTCCAAACAAGTTTTTCAATATCCCCCTCCCTTTCCTGCAGCCGCATCGTCCTGGCCCGGTGTTGTAGCGAACGTCTCGTCCCCACAGAACGGCAGGTGGGGGGAGTGGGGGCCCGTCGAAATGTGCCCCCCCAACGCCTTCGCGGATTCCTTCGAAATTAAGGTAAATTATAGGATGAGAAAGGAAGGAGGAGGAGGGAGAAAAAGAACGAGAGATTAAAGAGAGAGAGAGAGAGAGCGAAGGCGAGAAAAACAAGAGCCAAGGCGAAAGACCACAAAAGCGAGTGAGACAGATCAAGAGAAAGAAAATGCTAGAGAGAGGTGAGAAAGAGAGAGTAGGAGGGGGCGAAAGCGAGAGGGGAAGTACGAAAGCGAAAAAGAGAGGGGGGAAGCGGGAGAGAGAGAGAGAGAGAGAGAAGGGGGGATTCCTTTTCCATCTCTTACTCCTCTTCCATCATTTCTCCAATTTCCTTCTGTCCACCACACACTTTCCTTTCTCCCCCTTTACCCGTCATCTTTCGCTATACATCCATCTAGCTAATTATTTGTCTCTCCATCCATCCATGGGCAGTCCGAAGCTCCGACAACAGGAGACAACACAGCAGTGAATGGGATAATAATGGCGTGCAGACAGCAGGGAGGTGACCTGCCCAGCCGCATTACTTCCGACGCCGGGGACTTCGGTACATGGCGAGGTAAGTCATGCTCGATGTTTAATGGTTACAATGCTAAATACGTATGCTAGCCATATAGCACTTTGGAAAGGTCTAGCAATGAAAAGGTACAGAGAAATGGGGGAGGGGGTTAGTTGATGATTAAATGTACTATATAGCATGGTGTTGTATACGTATAAGTGTCGTATTTCTCTCTCTCTCTCTCTCTCTCTCTCTCTCTCTCTCTCTCTCTCTCTCTCTCTCTCTCTCTCTCTCTCTCTCTCTCTCTCTCTCTCTCTCTCTCTTATCTCTCTTCTCTCTCTCTCTCTCTCGTTCTAATCATTGTGCCTTCGATTTTTTGTCGTGTTTTCTAGTTCCCACGCCCCCGAAGTTTTCCCTTTCTTCATATAACACACACTTTTTTCGCATTTTCATTCACTTTTCCCCAACCATTTCATATCTCAGGAGAGAGAACGTGCCCTGTGCCTGAATACATAGAGAAGTTTTCCCTCCGCGTTGAACCAGACCAGGGTGACCTCGGGGATGACACTGCTGTTGATGATGTCAAGGTCATCTGCACGAACCACCCGGAGGTAATGTGAGGCCTTTTTTCGTAAGTGAAAATGGAGAATGTACTTTGAAAGAGGATATGCTAATTTAGTTTTGGTAGTTCGGTAGGGATTATTTCATACTTTTTTTCTTTGTGTAACTTTAAATGTTGGGAATATTGTGAGATTATTTTTTTCTTAGATTCAGATGATAAGAGAAAAAAATAAAGGAAAATATAATCGACTTTAGTATATATCCTCTAAGCTAACAGGCATTTTTGCAACACACTATAGTAAATGAAAACGTCGTTAAACAAAGTTACTCTTCCTCCTCCTCCTCCTCCTTTCCTCCTCGTCCAGGTCGAGATCGTGGGCGGTGGAGAGGATTGGGGATTCTGGGGAACATGGGCGGAATGTCCTCCCGATACGGCGGTGTGTGGGCTGCAGACACGCCTTGAACCCTACATGGGCTTGATGGACGACGACACCGCCCTCAATGACATTCGGGTTTTCTGTTGCCCTTTGTTTTGGTGATGCCCTGGGGCGAGCTTTTGGTGTGGCCTATCCCCCCTGATGAACTACTGGAGCAATGGTGTTGTCTGATTGACTTTTGAAAAGTGTGTCAGTCATCAATATGTTACTCTTATTATAAACCCATTTCCTTGATCGTCAAGCATTTACTCTGCGAGTTAAGTATGGTCACAGGAGTTGTTTTTTTCAACAACCAGTTTGTAATACTAACATCTGAAGTTACCCCTAACCTATATGTTAGCTATTTCCCAACTTGCTGCATCCACGGGCAAACAGAACCGTCACTTAACGCGCTCGATTTCAGGCAATAAACGTTTCAGCGACGTCCTTAATCGCGTCAAAGATCCCGCGCGTGTGAAGAATGACGACGTCATGAAATTTCACGTAAAAATAATAAACCATTATTTTTTAATATATAAAGATATGAAATACAATAATTACTCTCAAATCGTATTGATTTAAATATTTTTTGATAGAGATTGTATGTGCATTTAAGTAATCGCCAATTCCGAACGATCCAAACGACGTCACCCGTCCACAAGCTAGGTTGCCGCACTAAGAGGATTATGCCAACTTAGAGGTCGGGGAAGAGGAAATGTTACAGATTGCTGCCAGCTCGTTGTCGAAAAAATCGCTCGTGTGACCGCGGCTTCTATTAATCGTAGAATTTTGTAACCGTGACTAAAAAAAAATAGGAATTAAAATAATGGAACCAGTATTTTTTCTTATCCTACCTGCTATGCCTCAATCTATAAATATATTCATTGTCTTCTGCTGTCGCATATCGGACAGGTCAAGGGATTTCCACGCGGCACGGATAAGATTGTCATATTGAAAGGGACCATGGAGTATATAAAATCAATCGTCGCAGCCGTTGAAGCCGTATGCGACGGTACGATTTCCTCCAGCAGTAGGAAATAACAGGTAATTTTTTGGCCGATACATTTATAGTTTGAGTTTGCGTTCCATTTACCTAATAGCATTTGTCATACTAAATAAAATGGAAACCAGA